TATCTTCGGGGCACGGGTTTCAAGTAGATTGTCACGGTAGGGCCAGCTGATGTTACTTATATATCCCCCTCCAAATTTGTGTCCCAATGGTAGGCGCCAGAGTCGTTACAATTACCACGAATTTCGCCCAGCGGTTTGCCGTGTCTGTCCAGTTCTGGGTGAATGTTCCGTCCCCCATGTGTCGGTGGATGTTCACATAAATACAGAGTTACTTATCGGTCAAGTCATTCACCTCGTTCGAGTCATCCAGATCGTTCGATCAGAATTTCGTCAGCCTTGCCGCCGCACCTACCAGGAAGCTGACATGGTCATACAACAGGTTGTCTAATGCTGATGCACAAGCAACGAAAGCAGCCGTTTGCTGGATACGCCACTAGTCTACACTGATAAGGATGCGCTTCGTTGCGCGCGTCCCTCGAAACTAGGTCACGCCGCAACTGTCGCATGCGGAAGGCCAGCCCGCGATACTTGACGGACGTTGCAGTTGTCAGTGGGGCGCACGAATTGCGCTTGGTCCACAACAGTCAGCCAATGGAAAGATAACACGGACAAATGCTAATCAGTCGCTCCACCGGCATTTGGTGGTACTGTAACGTCGTCTCGAGGTCACAGTGGGATGCGCCGCGCGCGAAGTGGGCGGAGTGACCTACTTTCGGCGGATGAACTCAACGGACGTTCCCTCAATCCCTAATCTTTTTCGTCAAGTATACTCGTCCGTCCTTCGTCTCCGTTTCCAGTTACAGGGGAGGCAGAGTCGCCATCGTTTGCCCCGCACGGTTTAAGGTTCATCATCTCCGAGCGTATTACCAGTGGTGGCTCAGTTATGCTGTACGTACTCAGGTTATAACAACTCTTTACTCCCAGACAAAACTGGAAAGGATCAGTTAGCCACTCTCACGTAGACAACACTCGAAATCATTTTTAGTTAACAGTAATATGTCAAAACAATGCAGTGGAGGCTGAGGACACTCTGAAAGCAGAAGTGTAGTGTAGGCTAGAATTAAAAAGGTGTAAAGTGATCCCGATTAGGGCATGAATGAACTTCTAATTATATAAATGTAGATGTAAATATGTCGAGATGTCTGGAATTAGAATTAAGCTTCAGCCTTCGTTCACCACTANTTTACTCCCAGACAAAACTGGAAAGGATCAGTTAACCACTCTCACGTAGACAATCTCAGATGCATTTTTAGTTAACAGTAATATGTCAAAACAATGCAGTGGAGGCTGAGGACACTCTGAAAGCAGGAGTGTAGTGTAGCTTGCATCATTCTTGAGATGAATTAAAAAGGTGTAAAGTGATTCCGATTAGGGCATAAATGAACTTCTAATTATATAAATGTAGATGTAAATATGTCGAGATGTCTGGAATTAGAATTAAGCTTCAGCCTTCGTTCACCACTAGTTTCTTTATTAAGTCACAACACTAATTGCACTTTCGCTTAATGACAAATATGTTTCTTATTTGCCTGGTCAGTACATTAAACACCCTTTTTCTTCGCCAATGCCTGCACAGCACCCCAATTACTGACGCATTCATCGATCGTCTCGAAATCATTTGCTTTTCGTACTTTACCTGAAATTATAAATATAAGAGCGTGTGGGAGACGGGCAGTAGGAACGGTTTGTGTAATCGATCCGCCGCACGCGGCTTCTGCGGGCCATTTGCGTCGTTATTACAGTTCTAGTGTTCTTCATACAGCCCAATTGCTATGTAATTATTACTTTTGGTAAGATTCTAGAGTTCTTTTGCCCTGAATTTCTTACTTGCTGCTGCATTCTGCTACATTCCTTCGCGAGCGGCGTCTTTCTCGCCGCGACGCGACAAACTCGTTCCTACTGCATCACACTCAGAGTACGTCAAACCAGAAGTAACTTTAACTAAAACCGCCAGGAGTTGGACCATTTCACAAAAGAGAATGAAAGGGTCCCTCGAACCCTTAAAGTAAAGCCTAAAATCTTGAGGCGTTAATCAATCTCTTCTGAAGGTTGCACCCACGCATCCGACTCCCACTTGGAAACGTAGTGGCGTATTGGATGCGTATGTGGCCTATACAAAGACTTGTGCTGTGGCTAGCCGATGTACAAGTCAGTGCTTTTCCCCCAGACAAGTCTGGTGCCAAATGACTGATCCTGGATGGTTGGCCTAGGCGGATACCGATCCAGGTCCGAACCAGTGCCCACGCGTGTGAAGTAAAACGCCACTTGCCACCACACCACCACCGATACTACACCACCTCTGCCCAATTAACCATCAAAATTCAGAATGGAACAGCGGTTTTTTCTTGGGAGAATGGCTATAGTTTTTATAATAACGCAGAACTTACCCATTCCTGCAGGAGGGGATGGCTTGGGTTGTTGGGCTGGGGTTCTCTGTCCACCGGCTGGTGGTGTTTGAGGTTTCTGAGGAGGAGGACCAGCCTTCCTGTGAAGTTTGTAAAGAACAGCTAATTTGTCTTAGCTTGACCCCTACAACTTACCCCTACAAGATGTAGCTTTACTTTCCAGGAGAAGCTTAAGCATAGTCTCCCGTGAGAATGAGTGACTTACTTTGCCAACATCGCTTGAGCAGCTCCCCAATTGCTTACCACCTCGTTCACCGTCTCGTTGTCATCCCTAGGCCGGAATTCTGGAAAAATTCATAACACCTTATTTTGCACACCATGGGCTACTATTGTACATGAATCAGGAGCTCGTTGTCTTATTTATTTGACACTCTGTCGATTTGTGAGCTTAGAACTTTCTCGCCCTGCCTGTCCCACGGCAGACTATCGTCGATGATGATTACGGTAGTACGGGAAAACTCTGCCCAACTGAGGGCATTAGCTGTCACGGGAAAGCTAAGAAACTGTGGCGTTGTGATAATAGCGAGAGTAATGATCACGCCTACTATTTCGCCACACTGAGTTCCGTCAATAAACAAAGAATGAAGGGACTGTCACCGGGGTTTTTCTACGGTGCTATTTCGCACTGTAGATGTTGCAATATGGATTCGAGATCCCAATTTCAGACCAGCCAACAGTCAATTGTTAGCTAAATGTTGAGATTACCATACTTGGAGGTGGAGGTGTTGATGCCTTTTTCGGTGTCGGTGCTCTCAGTTTCTGCTCGCCCTCTCGTCTGAAATTCGTAGTAGAGCCTTCATTACCATACGAGAGAATGCTCAAAAAGGTACAAAGTAATGCAATTATAGTACCACTTCGAACGCATTTATCATTGAGCTCGGCTCTCAAAGCTCTGGTCGTAGTCAAGGTGATCGTTCAAACTATGTGAAAACTTTGTTGTGGGAACACTTGTTTTTGTGAAGTACAGTCAAGTTTAAAAGGTTTTTCCGAAAAGATAGCCGTGGAATTGATGCATCATCATAGACTACATACAGCAGTGTGCAGCAGGAACTTTATTACCGACAGTAATCAAAGTGATCACTACCTCTGCACCAGCATGCGATATAGCTGGTGAATTGGGCACCTTTCACTTTTCTAGCAACGAAGGATAAAATTAAGGGCGTCAATTAATCCCGTCTGAGGGATACGCCCACGCATTCGACTTCTATTCAGAATCGTAGTCGCGTATTGAATGCGTACGTGAACTATACAATGACTTGCGGTGTATAACGTACTGAACTGTACATACACTCGATGTACAGTTCAGTGCGTTCGTCCTCCCAGACCAGTCTGGTACCGACTAACCCATGGGGATGCAACACGGTTTGAACCTGTAACCGTCAGTGTGAGAAGTGCGCTACTTGTCACTACAACACCTACGCCCCTCTAGTACATGTTAGAGCGTTAGTAAGCCTAACGCTCTCATTCATTTGTTGATAACTTCCTTGCTCTTTCCCTAGACCGATCGCAAAGGAGTGCCGAACCATCCATAACTTACTTCTGAAGCATGGCCTGTGCCGCTCCCCAATTGCTGACAACCTCATTCACGGTCTCATTGTCATCTGCTGCTCGGAATCCTTCTTCAAAAAAATGCCAAACGGTTAAGAGAATGAATTTACATAATGATTTACAAAACAACATACTTGGAGGTCCTTTAGGCTTTGGTGGAGCTTTTGGTGTTCCTGGTCTCGCTGGAAAACCAGTTACTTGTTCAGTTAGCAGGCTAATGGTACAAAACTTGCGGATGTATCCGGATGCAAGAAAAATTGTGGCGATTCGCATGAAAAAGCCAATATAACTCGTTTAGGCCAATCATTCTTACGTGGTACGTTGGCGATTCCCTCCTTCCTGCAAATATATTGATAACAGTGTATGGGACCTTCGCAAGGCTGTTTAATGCTCTGAAGAAAATCGAAGAAATATAAATTGGGACACAAAGTTGTTGTAGAGACGCTGGGTGCGCTGGGTGTAGAATCAGATGAAATGTCATGTTATCTTTTTTTTATTTGAGCTTGAGAGTTTACTACAGAAGTATATCAAAGGGAGGGCCTATACAATGACTTACGGTAGCTACCCAATGTAGATAAAGCGCTGAGTATCAGATAGCAGGTCAGAGCTTTCACCCCCGTTGACGGTTCGGGTACCGAAGAGATGGGAGGCTTCTTTGGTATGAGTGGATTTGGGATTCGATTTCTGGTCGATGTGTCTATGTGTTTGTGCTCATCGTTTGACGCTTACCACCTTCACCTGGTAATAAGGCATAATTCCTTTAGGAGGTGGTTGCGGTAGGTGAGCTTTCCTGTGTGGTCCGTAGACTCGATCTTTTTTAATAATCATCAACCGCAAGCCTTTAATTCTCTACCAAAATCAGTTGGGTTTGGTCATTTAAGAAGCCCCCAGATGTCAAAGCCTATACAACTCACTTTTGTAGCATAGCTTGTGCTGCTCCCCAATTGCTCACTACTTCATTTACTGTCTCGTTATCATCAGCAGCTCGGAAGCCTTCTGAACACAAAGGACCATAAAGTCGGAAAACTCTTGAGACGCTATAAGACTATTATACTTGGAGGTCCTTTCGGCTTTGGTGGTGCTGGTGGTGGTGGTGGTTTTGCTGGAAATAAAACGCTCGATAGAGATAAATCTCTATTTACTAGCGTCAGTAGCCACTGCTAGACAGAGTGAGATCCCTAGTTTTGACGTTACCTGGCGCCATTGCTCCTTCTTTCCTAAAAAAACGTTTGTTCTCACTTTCGGATTGCAATTGAAGCTAAAATGGATCAATCTTTGAAAGCTCACTTTTGTAACATCGCCTGAGCAGCACCCCAATTGCTAACCACCTCATTTACCGTCTCGTTGTCATCTCTAGGTCGGAATTTAGCTGTAAGTTTCGAGTTATTTTCTTGTTGCGGACGTGACCGGCTTTCATATCGTCTTATTGACCTTATAAACACTCCAGCTCTCCCATACCTCTACGAATCGCCTTTGTTGGTAACATATAACATGGTAAATCACCTAAGCAACTACAATACCCACCCTAATTGTTCTAACAGGGAACAAAGTGACAATCCTGTTTCGTACCATTTTGGGATAAATAGGGTTGTTTCTACGTTAGGATAGTCTTCTGATTATGATGGGTGTGGGTACCTTACCCAAAAACCGCATCGTACACGCCGCACCCGATCGCGTACAGCCGCACGCCATGAAGCAATAGGTCTGGATCCCCATTAGAAGGATACGGAAGACGCCGCGGAATCACTCCCGCTTGCCGAGGGAATTCGCGGAGAAATACCGTCACCCAATAATGATTAAGACGAACGTCGTTGCTAATGACGTGCCCTCAGGGACTCTAATGGAACCAGGGTACCAAGAATGAGCTCTAGCTTTCCTTATCCACTTGTGGAGCTGAGCTGAATGGGTGCGGATTTTCCTAGGCAAATGGTGTGCGCGCTGCAGCGGGAATGCTGGAATCACTAGTGGAAGATTACCGTAATTCTCGTGGAACTTTTGCCAATCACCGCATGAACCGGAAGAAGTACCAAAACCGATAGAACCACGTAACAATTCATAGGAAAGTCAGTCTATAAAAAAAAAGCAAAAAGCGCAGGTCCACATTCTTTCTGATGCTGTTTCTGTTTCTATGTATTATAGGAAGTGAGGGTGAGCATCGCATTATACATACTACGAGCAACCACAAACATTTTTCTCCCAACTTTATTGAAAACGTCACTTTCTCACTTCATTCACTATGTATGCTTAATATGTATAGGCTCCTAGTTGTGCCATAGTAGAATGAAATCAGAAATTTCCAAAAAAATAACAAATGCAAGGAAATTTACCTTGGTCCGGTGATTTTGCCTTGTCGGGTGATTTACCTGGATCAGGTGATCTGCCGTGATCCGGTGATTCGATTGGTGTGTCACTACTGAAAAATGAGTCATGGAAGTTTTGAACTTAACCATATCAGTTATGTAAGGNGGATAAGATTTTTCGAGTTAGTCAGTCTGGAATGCAACTCTGCATTCGACTTCAATTCAAAACCGTATTGGCACTTTGAACGGGTGTATGGCCTATATGATGAGTTCCGGTGGCCAACTGAAGCTCAATGGTAAAGACCATGAGGAACCTCGAAGGAGAGGTCAGATTCCGCCGATGTCGGAATTGCGAAGGCGGATCCCGTCGGAAGAAGGAAGTGTATACGATATACAAGATTAGCGGATTCAGCAAGGGTCAACGCCAAGGAGAAGAAATGGCGCGTATGCTAGCAGATCGTAGCCGACCTTCAGGGTCACCCAGGATAGGCCACTGGAGCGAGGCTAGCGATAGCGACAAATCGGAAAGCTAAGGAGGCCAATTTATTTATTTTTATTTTTCTTTGATTTCCGATAATAAATCATAATCATAATTTTATAAAATCATTGATAGTCAGATAGCTAGTCAGTAGATGGTACAATGCTTGGTATACCACAGTCAAAGCTCGTAGTGTACAGACACACGCTACGAGAGTTGGTGGCAGTGGCTCAGGCAGCGGCGTACGACGGGTTTCTCTTCTGCCGTTTTCATCATGACCATTCGAAACTGTCACTGTATGAATATTGAATGCTGTCCTCATAGTGGACCTCTTGTATTATAAGTGCAAATCCTGGGATAGTAACAGAGAAGACGCACCCTCATCTCACCTTACTGCTTTTGGAGGTTCAAAGTACTTCATATCTTGTCCTTCTCGAGCTTTGAGCATGGCTTGGGCAGCTCCCCAATTGCTTGGCACTTCGTTCACTGTCTCATTGGGATCCATTTGACGGAATTCACCTGCAATCAATGGTTTGAACATGGAAAAAATCAATGCTTAAACTACCTCTTTGTAGGCCTTCTTGCCTTTTCTTCTCCTCCTCTCTCAACTCCTTCTTCAACTTCTGAAAACAAGTTTTTTCGAAATCTGGGAATGACTTGTTATGGAAGATGGAATATTTAGGCGCTAATTAATAATAATGTTCCTGGGATGTGACTCAGCATTTGAATTCTTTTCAGAAACATAGTAGCCTCTGAACGCGTGTGTGGCCCACACAATGACTTGTGGCAGCCAACCGATGTACAGGCCAGTACTTTTATCCTCCCAGACTAGTCTCATATTAACTGGCTCTGAAAGAATGGGTGACAGATTACCTAGGCTAATCAAATACGATCCCGAAAAGACGAACTTAGCTTTGACAACATCGCTTATTTTTTTATCTATTTATTTATTAGTTTATTTACATATCGATATTTATTTATTAAAGTTATATCAGTATTATAGTGGTATTTAGTGGTTCTGTCATCCCGTTGATCGTCGATTTCCTCGAGCAGGCGCCAGCAACGTCTCTATTCGTTCCTGTCGCGAGCCAGAGTAGTCCAGTGAATCGTATTCGCTCGAGGGACACAGAGCGAAACATGTCTTTTGTCTAAAGCTTTCGTGTGGAAGCCTGATCATCATTTCGGCGGTCGTCCTGGTGTTCGCTTGACGTCCCGAGGGATCCAGTCCGTAACCCCTGGTCCAACGGTCATCACTACATATATTGCATTAAGTGCCCGGCCCATCTGATTTTCGATTTCTTGGCGTATTCAACGGCACCCCTGATCTTCGTTCGTTGACGGAACTCGGAACTTCGGATTCCCTTCTGCANCACTTGCGTGTATAGGAAAATTTCGAGCATCGTCCTTTCCAAAGCGCGTTGAGTAACGCTGACAACATGTTCATCCTGCTTTCGTGGAGTCCAAGTCTCTGAGGCGTACGTCAAAGCAGTGTCGAAAAGGTCGGCGCGGAGCCGGATATTCTTTGTATTCTTCACTACTCCTTCGATGTTCTTAAATGCTCCCCACGCCGCACGTTTCCATATGCTCAGCTCCGGGGCTAGGTCGTTCGCCATGATCACTTCCCGACCTAGATACACATAGCTGAAGCAGTCAGAGATGCATACAGTATAAGCGTATTTCTTGTTTATGATTATAGTGTTTGAACACCATCGACAAAAATGCCCAACTTCTTCATAGTGACTTGACCCTTCTCGGAATGAAGCCCTTGTTGCAGAGAAGTTTCCGAAATCCTCAGGATCATGAAGGCCCGTAGTCACTTAGAGGAGCGCTGGTTAGACTACGGATAAGTGTCTTCGAACATGCTGATCCGCCTCTCCTTCAGATTGCGATGGAAATGTAGTGCGAGGACTGGTGCTCCAGTGGTCTGAGCAACGTGAGTACCACTAACCATGGTTTGGTGTATCATGTGCCTCAAGCCTTCCTAGTTTTATAGAATTTCAGCCGATGCTTTCAACGGAAATCGAGAAGGTTATGAATTCGGTCGATTTTAGATCACAAGTATGCTGGCACGTAAAGATTCCGACACGCTGAAGAGCGTTACTTGGACAGTTTGAGCTGGAACGCATGGCACTCTATGTATGTATGGATGGATGTACCACCGCACTTCAGGAAACTGCTGGAGGAAACTGCAAGGAAAGTGATTTTAAATGACTCTCACCTCACGAGCTGCACGTTTTGCTCTCTGAAAAAAAGTAGTCTGAATTTCTCGTTTTCGCAAAAGTTTGCTACAATTGCACTTACGTTCGCAGGTGAATCGGCTGAAAAAATGGCTTTTGAAAGTTGTTTAAAAGCTAATCTTCAGTCTTCAGCAATGCTAAAAAAACTCACGGTCATCGTCTTCGAATCGTGCCACTCCTGAAAACAATGGCAGTGCCAGAGGCGAATATGAAAATTAGTTATGCAAGTGTAAACCTTTCGAGTCGCAGGTTAGTAGGGCGAGTATGGTTGCTGATACCACTGTTAGTGGTAGCCAAGCCAAAAAGGTGAGCTTTTCAAGAGAATCTGAATTCAAAATGTATTTAGACTTATCTGGAAAGAAGCCACTGAAAAAAGGATCGTGGCATTATAGCTGGTATGGCGAAATGAAGTTATACTGGAAGACTGGGGGCCTTCTAAAAACTGGCAAAGGAGGATCCCATTTTCGGTACTGAGTGCTTTTTTCACGAAGCCCCTACTGTATCAAGGGTAACGGAACCTCGGGTGCCGAAGCTTCATCCCAAATTGCCACGACAAGCGGCAAAGGTCACGCGGCGGGTTTCCTATCTTTGCACTGGGAATTCAAACATTTCCGCGACTGTGCGCGATCGGGTGCGGCAAACGCAACGCCGCAACGTTTTTGGGGAAAGATACCGGACCCCTCCTTCTAATAGGCTTTCGGAAAATTTCATGCTAAAATTTTGTAATAGCTCAAATACCTCGAATGTTCTAGAAGTTTCCATGAAATTAAGGTCTAAGGGCATTGTCCCTATGCTCATAACATGCCCGACTTCATCTTCCTTGCTTGGTCCATCCTATAGTGGCCAAACTACCTCCCCATGTGCGACACCTACTTCTTCACAAGATCAAGTTAGACCACTCCGCCACTGAAGCCTGCAGAGGCTTTTGTCAAGTACTTCGCTATGAATTCTCTTCTTAGCTATTCTGTGCACACCTCCTTCCAACGCTTTGAAGCCGGAATATGATTGTGGGAGATGGGTTATGATACAGCTAATCGACTTGGGTATGTGTACGAACGTGCGTCCGAGGATTCGCGCGGCCTAGTTCGTAATGATTTGAACGAGTTTGGCGCCTATCATTGGGGCCCAACTTTGAAGTTGAGTAGATTAGAAGGATCACCTGACTCTACTAAACTACTCTACTTTGAATTTGTGCCCCGAAAATTGGCGAAAGAGCCGTACACATCATCACGAACTTCGCTGCGCAAGTTGCCGCGCGCATCCTCGGACGCACGTTCNTACCGTCCCCCAATCGACTTAGATATCAATAAATGTAGCCACCTCTGAGCTAGCCACCGATTCGTAAGTGCCCAGGAAAGCCACCACAGCCGTGGCGAAAGGCTCCAAGGGATTCACCCCTGGAAAATCGGCACAACTGCGAGGTATTTGGGAAGGGAAACGTAGACAGCGCTAGTGGCTATCCTTTGGTATGCATGCTGCCTGTACTCTGCCGTATGCGTCTTCGACGATAGGTTATGGGAGATGTTAGCATTTCAGAGCTATCCGTTTGACCTTTGAAAGGTCCTCAAATAGAAACGCCCGGGAGCCACGCTTCCTAGTTCTGACGACCGAGTCAAGCACGTAAGCCAAATGATCCCTTATCATCCCAGTCAAGTGTTTATCAAATCTTTATCTCTCAACTTTAACACTGGGCTTGAGCGCTTCAAAATGAATTCATTCGAAGGTTGCCATCAGTTTCTATCGGTTTTCCAGCAGTGTGATGTCCTAATCACACTTCAATGCCGGCTCCTACCTAAGGTGCTTCCTCACGTTTTGGTGTGTATGTCACGCTGCCGATGTAAAACTACAGCGAATCTGTGGCAGTCTCGGAACTTTTCCCTATGAAAGCCACTTTCAAACTCGATCGTTGCAGCTTTCGCCAGTGCCAAAGCAGACGATTGCAGGATGCTTTATCCCTAGGGGCTACGCGCTTCATAGTTCTGACTATGACAACTCGGGAGATTCTCCGCAACGGAGTGACCTGCCATCGTTAATGATGGAAAGCCATCATTCCCAATATAGAGCGCCAAAGAGACGTCTGATTGTTCCATCTAGGAACTTTGGCAAAGAATGTTACAATTTCCTGGTAGGACAGTGAGGAGCCATGATTCTGTGGAAACAGTTATCTCAGCTGCATCCTTGCTGTGACGCGAAAACGGCTCGGTACATCCTTTACGTAGGTTGCCACAAAAGACATCCAGATTGCTTAGAGGGGAAGCAAAGTTCCAAACTCACCTAGATAGCATTCAGCCATGCGTCGACCGAAATACAGCAACAAATGATGGCTCAACCCACTTCGATTGTTTTTATTGGCCTTCCTTCTATCCCTTATGTATTTCTGAATTCCAGCAAATCTGTTTTCTCATATCGGTCTGTCGCTCAGTCTACTTGGGGGTTTCCCAGTTTGTCGATTCATCGGTCTGCCGAGCAATCTGCACGCGAAGGGTCCGCCGTTCGCACAAAATCAAGTCGTTCGGGAAGTATCTGCCGAAAATTGGCAGTAACCTAGATTTCTTTATGAACTGTTGTGGAACTTCCCCATGTACTCCAAGGGGGCCATTACCCACTTTAACGCCACGGTTTTAACGATAAGATGTGAACCTGATGGGAAAGTCAATTGTAAAGTCTGAGTGTTCATGTAATTACTGAGCGAGAGAAGGACAAAAAACAGTAGGCAGAGGAAAAAAGTAATGGGATCGTTAACGTGGTAAACTAGTTTTAGCGATACAACACCAGTGTTCCCTCCTCACCTGAACTCACATCGATGTAATCAATGCCCTGCCTGGGAAGGTCCGGGAACTTCCTACTGAAATTTTGCTTTTCCTCACGGAGGCCTCCCATTGCCCGTACCACACGACGGCCCTTTCTGAATAGTTTCTCTGATTACCTCCAGTTCACTCAATCATCTTAGCTCATGTGCTGCCAGTAGAAAAAAAATCGAGTTGCGTAAGCATTGCTGCTACTTACCAGTTAGTTGTTGTTAATAACCGCATAAGAGTGGAGAATGAAAGGGATGAAAATATTTACTCACAGCATTCCTAATACTTGAAGGGACAATTCAATCGTTTTTGTGATTCTCCGCTAGAACGAATTTGTGGCCCCCAAGAATATGTAATACCTGAGTCCCTGTCGAGCTGAAAAAGGGCCTAGAAATGGTGTAATAGTGGCTCTGAACGTGTTTGGCCTACGCAGGCACTTAAAGTAGCCGTGTTATGCCGGCCTTGTCGCTACTGCACTATTCACAGTACGAGACGAATAGTACGCCTGAATGAGAGTCGACCTGACGGTCATCTCGCAAAACCCCTTTCTTGTTATTTTATTGAGGTCTTGCATTTTTTTAAACCCAACTGCTTTCGCGCTTTTTCTCCCCTTGCACTATTCTACGCCATGGCTTCCATTACTTTGCGTAAAATGGATACTTAAAAATATCGTGAACTATGCCTTCAAAGTCGCATTTCACGATAAAAATGGTTTCCGAGTTTACTCATTAGGCTTAATCTGCAGTTCCCTACGTATACCATGTGTGGCTCTGCCAGATCGGAAGATGGCTTAGATAAGGCGTTATCAGGGCCAAACATTGTATCGGCTGCAAGCCGCACTCAGCGGCAGACGAGTTTACGGCGTTGAGGGGCTGCCCCATCCACAAGGGGCATCCACGTAAGAAATTCAAACGACTAGTTGTGGCCCATAGCGCCAGTGGAAGGCAGTTTTCAACGTTTTGGCTTAATGTAGCCAGCTTCTCAGGCAAATACATTAACGGAAATCTCGTCCAAATCCCCTTAAGTGCCATTTCCGTCACGCCACGTACGACCTCTATTTCTTCTACTTTTAGGAGGCCCTGTTTTTCGCAAAAATGGCAGATTTTCGTCCTTTTCTCCCTACCGATGCACTATTCTCCACCGATACTACAACCTTTCAACTTAAAAGGGTGCCTTCAAAATTATGGTGTGTCGAAGATCACCCTCAGTACTTAACAGCCCGAGATAATCGCCAGAACAAGGGCCTGTTGCGTCTGGTTCCCGCGCACCCTGGTGTACCACACCGATCATTTACGAGTATTACATTTCCTTACTTAGCCTATTAGTGAGATATGTGTACCACTGAGGCGGCGGTTCGTGCTCATCCTTCTTTACCTGACCCAGACTTTGCGAGGAGTCGGCCCAACGTCTGACCGAAGGACGGTCGCGTTTGTACAGTTCTCTCACATCTTGGGGCGACGTCCCAGAAACAAAGACCTGACTACCATCTTGCCGTACTCTTTGTGTGCTTTAGTATATGTTACATCTTATCATGTTATGTTCGTGTCTTCTATTCGCCTTCCGGATTGTCACGACGAGTTAATATCTATTTGTTGCCGCTCGTATTAGTGTCTTAAAAAGTTTACTTGTTATGACTATTATTTCCCTAATAAAACTTACAATTATTCAATTACTAGTCTGAGATGCACACGCACGAGCCGCTGCTCACGCCAGCTTACTGGTGAGCTTTGCCTCAATGCACACCATTTTGGTCAATATGGGAAAGCCATTGGATAGTGATCATCTTTCCCATTCTGGGGAAGCCATTTCAGTAAACACGTAAGGGAAAGAAATATCGTCGCAGTACAACTCATCTTCGTGAGTTGTCGAAGCGACGGAACTACCGTATGACTACCAAAGAATAAAAACATGGCGACAGACCACTGACTTTCCGCAGGTACAGCACAAGCATCTGAAATTACGCAGATAGCATAAATTCCTTTTAAAGCTACGAACTTTTACAGAACCAGTTTTGATGTGGGTCAAATAGTCTATAAAGAACGAGAATCTTTTGTGTTTTTAGTGAATTCAGAAATCAATCTAGTGAGGGTATGAAGCCCATATCGGGAAAGTCTAGATGTTCAGTCAATTCAGCGCATAGAACTTTTGATTGTCAGTGTAGATCTGACCGATAAGATATCATTATATTTTATCATTAGAAGACATCCTCAGAGTATTGTAAACAGTAGATCTAATTACTTCTTTACATAGATGTCTATCTATGTTTTGTTGTCTTCATTTTGACATTCGCATTTAAGTTATCTTTATTACTACTTTGAAGCCAACCTTTTAGGAATAAATGAGCTGCATGCGTGACTTGTCTTATCTTTAGTTCGTTAATGAGTCAGCTATTCGTCGGTCGACATTCCAACCTTCCAAACTACAGAGCAAAGAGCGCTTTGTAGGGTCCAAAGTACGTTCACTTGGGCAATTAGGCGTGCAAACGCCAGTGCCATTCCGTCGTAGCTGTCCTCTGTTTAGTCTCTGATTAGATGAAGTTATAAAAGTTTTTTTCGACTTTTTTTAGCGCGTGAAGTTGGTCTGGGATGTTTCGTGTGGAGCAGCGCTTTCCGTCAGTTTGCAGAGGAGTTTCCAAATGCAGAAGGTACGAAACTGTTTTCAGATTTCGGATAATTGCCTCTTGGTTTGGCTGAAGTCTAATGATGAATGATTTCTAGTCATATGAGATGATAGTACTTTCTATAGCAAGCACTCCCTTGCCGGAGATGATTACCAGTTCCTACAACGAAGTGTAATACCGTCATATCATTTCCAAAAAAGCCTCCGCCGTCTTCCGATTCCAAAACTTCAGGACTCATGCAATAGGTGCATAATTAGTCTCCTTTCTCCCAAGAGGTATTGTCTTACAACTACCTTTACAGGTTCCTAGCTTCTGCCAAAGTTGTCCTTAATGATGCTGTATATACTCGAACAGAAGAAGTGGTTCGCTCATTTGAAAAGGCCGAAGGACCAGGTCGGAATCCACTCAAAACTTAGCTTTTCGATCATACCTCGGCTATTCATTCTGTCATCCTTCATTTTGAGGAAAACAAAGTAGGACAGTTGTTTCAGGCTTCAATTGAAGTCTGAAACAACTGCTTTACCTCGCTTT